TATGTGGATGTGCACAACTCAGGACTCCAGTTGATGAGAGCCTCAGTACCAGCTTTTTAGAGTGAAGTGGGACAAGATTGCAGCAACCCAAGCCACTGGGAATAAAGCTGTGGGAAGATCCTGGTGTGAATATGACTTTGAGCCCTTTGGGGGACAGTGCACCTGCCAAACTAGAGGCAAAAAAAGAGTACACATTTCTCTCTCCCTTACCACCCAGCACCAGCATCCTTTAGCTAGCCAAGAGAGAGTAGGCACCATATTGGACATATGTAACAGCTGTTCCAGCTCGTGTCCATGTGTCCAGCAACTAGCTGAGAGGATACACCTGAGTCTGGCTTGGAGAATAGAGAGAGGACTGTGAAAACGCTGTGGCTATGTGGAAGGTTGCAGGGTATAGCTGGGACTTTGGGCAGTCACTTTGGGCAGCTCCATGTGCTTGACATTCCTTGATTCCCTGGTGAGGGTCATTGCTGTGGGTTCTGTGTTCACACTGAGGACTGCATGGATCCTTTGTGTGATTATTGCGGCCGTGCTGGTGAATATTGTACCCACTGAGGCTAGTGCCCAGGCTTTGGTCTACTTTGAGGAGAAGGGGTGAGCATGTTGTCAGCAGAGCAGAACAAATCTCCCTTCTTATTTTTTAAAGCAAGAGTTTTACCACACCAAACTTGGATGTCACCTTGGACCCTCTCCTCACCCTGGAGCACGGAACAGAACTCCTTGGCCAAATCCAGCACATGCCTCTGGGTACTCACGGAAAGAACAGACACTCCACTAAGTCACAGAGGCATACTCAAAGATAAAAGCCATCACAGGGAAAAAATACCCAACTAGTATCTCCACAAATGCACAATAATAAATGCAGCAATTCAAGAAATGAGAGTAAGGAAGACAACATGATGCCCCCAAAAGAACATAACACTTTGATACTAGAATGTCAAGATGAATGGACTGAAGAAATTCCAGAAAAGGAATTCAAAAAATTGATTGTAGGATTACTTAGAAGTAATCAGAAGCAAATCCGTGAACTAAAGAAATCCGTTCGTGACAGGAAGGAAAATTTTTCCCATGAAATTGAGATTTTAAAGAGAAATCAAAATGAAATATTGGAAATGAAGAATTCAATAGAGCAAATAAAAAATGTGGTAGAAAGCCTTAACAACACACTTAGTGAGACAGAAGAAAGAATTACCAAGTTAGAAGACAAATATCTGGAAATTTTACAGTCAGACAAAAAAAAAAAAGAAGAAGAAATTCGAAAGATAAAAAGCGGTAGTGGAGATTTATGACAGTATTGGAGATTTATGGGATACTAGCAAATGACCCAACAATGGATCTTCGGAGTTCCTGAAGACATGGAAGAGAGAAATGATTAGAAGGCCTGTTTAGAAAAATAATTACAGGCTGGCGCCATGGCTCAATAGGCTAATCCTCCGCCTCCGGTGCCGGCACACTGGTTTCTAGTCCCGGTTGGGGCGCCAGATTCTGTCCTGGTTGCCCCTCTTCCAGTCCAGCTCTGGTATGGCCTGGTAGTGCTATGGTGGATGGCCCAAGTGCTTGGGCCCTGCACCCGCATGGGAGACCAGGAGGAAGCACCTGGCTCCTGGCTTCAGATTGGTGTGGTGTGCCGGCCGCAGCACACCGGCTGTAGCAGCCACTGGGGGGTGAACCAACGGAAAAGGAAGACCTTTCTCTCTGTCTCTCTCTCTCACTATCCACTCTGCCTGTCAAAAATAAAATAAGTAAAAAAAAAAATAAAAATAATTACAGAAAACTTCTCTAATTTGGAGAAAGAAAGGAATGTGCAAGTACAGAAAGCACATAGAACTCCTAAAAACACAACCAGAAAAGATCTTCACCACAACACATTGTAGTCAAACTCTCTACAGTAAAACATAAAGAAAAGTTCCTAAAATGTGCACAAGAGAAACACCATATTACTTTCAGAGAATCTCCAATTAGACTCACAGCTGACTTCTCATCTGAAACCCTACAGGCTAGCAGAGAATGGTGAGACATATTCAGACAGTGCAGGGGTGGTGTGTTCATGTGCCAAGGCCTCTTCTCTTAAAATCATCACTCATCATTGTAGTGCACATGTCTCTCCTCAATCTTCCCAGTTCAGGGAACAATGGTATGCATATACCCTTGTAGTCACACATACACACACACACACAAACACAGAGAGAGAGAGGAAGCTTACCACCTTCTAAAAATTGTTTCTCAGAAACAGTTCAAACGGTTTAAATCAAAATTAAGGAGGGATCCCTATTTTTAAATACCACATGATCTGCACAAATTTCTACCACACATAAAGGCAGCAGTGCATCTTACTATGCATGATGATAGTAGGCCCTACCATATTCAATCTCCCCGCTGTAGGTGATGCACTGGTGTCAGATTTTTAGAAAAATATAGCGAAATCTTTTTGGTTTTCCAAGCAAGAATTTTTGTTCCGTGATTGCCCATCCATGGGATTATAAAGATTAGAACTGGCAGAAATTCTGAAACTGATAATTTTTTGGAACCACATTTGAAAGCTTTGATATTTTTAAGTACAGTCTTTGAGATAAGAGAGGGAGCAAAATGTTTCCTTATTGTCCAGTGACAATCAGAAAGGTAGGCATTGGTGCTGCTATGATTCATGGCATAATGACTATCAGACTCTCCTGACTTTTTAGCTAGAACATAAGAAAGCGTAGGAACATGTTGTAATTATAGGAACAATTTGCATTCTAGAAATTGTTCTCTCTGGCTCAAACTAAGCAGAGGCGTAGAAACTCATTAACCCCACATTTGTGGCACTGAGTTCAGTTGGGAGAAGCATATGATTAATTAGAGAGAACAGATCCAGTAGGGAAAAAAGTTCAGAAAATAGACCAAAGAATAAACCAAGAGTTGTCATTGAATCATGAAGTGAAGCCTGGGAGAATGAGAAAACAGGGCAATGTTGACAGATGTGCTCATGGAGGATTTAAGACTTGTGATTCTTGGTGATAGGTCAGTCTCTGACACGGGTGCCCTCTTCCAGTCACTTGCGGTGGGGAGAGTTAGAGTTGCATTTCTGTCCTCCCAAGACAGGGTTGTGTGAGATTCCTCAGGATCAGGCCTTTGGGAAAGCAAAGAGGGGCTGGCAGGATGTGTTCTGTGTTCCAAATCTAGGCCATTGTGCTTGTCTCTGGGCTTGGTCTGGGAATAGGCACCCTTTTCACACTTCTGCACCAGTCCCTATAGGTGTTCTTCTGAGAGAACGACTTGTGTCTAGGGGTTTGCAACGCAGAATGGCACTCTGAAATGCCCAGAAAATCCCTGAGAAGAGGAGTCTGCAGACAGGGGCAAGGCAGAAGAAGAGAACCCCGAGCCTTTTCAGCAGAGTGCCCTCCTGGGATCTCTGCAGTCCTCTTATGTGTCTCTGGCTTTCAGGTATTCTGGGCTGCACAGGCCCAGCTCTTACCCTATCTCAGTGAACCATAGTTGAACTGCTTGCCTGTCCAAGAGAACCCAGTCTGTTCTGCATCAGAGCTCCTGACTTCAAAGGCCATCTGGAAGGAGCTGTTCTTGGTCTCCTGCCCACTCCAACACACAACTCCAATCAAAGCCTTGGTGGTGGTGGACTTCTCAGGCCATGCCTGCAGATGCACCCACTGCCAGATTCTTTCTCTTCCTATGGCACAGCACTACCTGTAGGCCCTGGCCACTGCCCTACCAGGACACCTCTATGAGTGGCCTGAGTTGCTTGACACATCTAAGAATTACTCTGGCTGCAGGGTCTGTATGGCTCCCAAGAATTTCAAATACCAAGCCTTCTATTATCTTATTCTGTATTTTAGGTCTTGGCACAGGGAGTACAAGTGAAGGAACCCTCAGTTTATTTTTGCTGGAGGAAACAAAAAATGATTCCCATGCAATTTTTATTGCATGCAATGGGTCTTCCTTTCCCAATATAGCACTGCAAAGAACGGATGGTCAATATGACCAGTTTCACAGTAAGTAGCACAGAGATTTTCTCAGGGAAGAAGAACACCTAAGACGATGTGATCCCCAGTCTCTCTTCTCCAGTCTGACTTAACATCCCAGCAGCCTGCAGTTGTAAGGGTGTAGGAGGTACATCTGTCCCAGCAGTCATGGCAAATAGCTTGAGAACAGCAGAGGGGGCAGCTTGTAGGACTCTCTCGTTCCAGTTCTCGTCATCCCAGGTGTGGAGCTTGTGCTGTACTGAGGGCCTGGAGGTCGAGGGGGCCTTCTAGAGCTTCTCAAGGGTTAAAGGACTCAGGGAGAGGCCCCCTCAGAGGCTGAGGTCCTGGTGACTCACTTGCGGCAGAGCCACGGGAGAAGGGGCCGTGGAGGGGCTTTCAGAGGAGTTCTGGCAAACATAGTTGCTCTGGTATTTGGGCCTTGCCACAGTTATTTTCACCAAATTCACTAAGTTAAGCTCTTGTACTGGGCCTGGCAGGAGCTGAACTGTGCAAGTGGTGGGGGAAGACTTATAATCCATCTCTGGCCCTATTTCATATTCCAAGCCCCCGACTTGGTCAACATACCCCCTCAACATTTACATTGTGGAGGCATTTTAACTTGAGTCCTGCTTCTGATGTGAAACTGGACCTTAGACTCTATGGTTCCTCTGCTCTCACATCTGAGTCTAGAGAGCTTGGAGGGCTGTGAAGAGAATGGAAAATGGGGCTTGGACTCAAAGTGCCTTGAGTTGACCTTGCAGGAGGAGATGGAGAGCCAAGATTTCAGGGGTGGGATCCAGGCAGGTAGGGCAACTGGACCTCAGTTAGACCTGAGCAAGTCCTTGTCTTCACCTGTTTGGTCACAGAGGCTCAGCAAGGGTCAATAACCAGTTTCAAGTCACACAGCAGGTGGGAGCATCATTACTTCCATCCCAGGGCACAGGAGACTTTCCATAGAGTCGGGATTATATGAGGGATTATACTGAGATATCCTATGGTGAAGCACTCCGTGAGGAATACATTTGGATACACGATTCCCTCGCTCCCCACTACAGGGCAATCTACCTCTCTCATGGACTGATGCAAAGTTAAGGCCAGCGAGTTCATCCTTTGTAGTTGGACCAGGGACTGTCAGGATAAAGGTTTTACACAATTCCCCTGCCCTCATACCTTCCCAGTGTTTATTCATGCTGTACATTTGCCCATCAGATATTCTGAGGATCTGCTACAAGCAGGAGTGACTGCAGATACCAAAGAGAAAACAATGAGTGGAATTTCAGAGTGAGAGCAGTCATAAGGTTTTCTGCTCATGAGGGGAGAGAAACAAAATGCACAAAACCAAGGAAATTGCAGAATGACAAATTGTGTTAAGTGCCCTGATCAGGGTACTTTGTTCTTGTATTGAGATGGAGACCAGGAGATTCATCATGGAGCCAGTGGATACTGATAGGAGAAAGGGGAGGGAATCTTCAGGAGGAAGTAAGGGAAAAGCATACAACCATTGGAAAACTCATTTCTTGTACTCCCTAACTACCGTGCCCATACAATTTCTAGGGATCTTTGTAAATATATCTACTCTAATCTCTCCACAATACCAATGTAAGTCTCTCCAACTGAAATCATTCATGGTCTATGTTTCTAGTGAAAAAAAAAATCATTGGGACAGTGCTGTGCACAGCAGGTTAAAGCCCTGGTCTGAAGCACCAGTTTTCCATAGGGGTGCCAGTTCTAGTCTCGGCTGCTCCTTTTCTGATCCAGGTCACTGCTGTGGCCTGGGAAATCAGTAGAAGATGGCCCAAGTCCTTGGGCACCTGCACCCATGTGGGAGACCTGGAAGAAGCTCCTGGCTCCTGGCTTCAGATTGGCACAGCTCCAGCCATTGTGGCCATCTGGGGAGTTAACCAGCGGATGGAAGACCTCTCTGTCTCTACATCTATCTGTAACTCCATATTTCAGATAAATAAAATAAATCGTTAAAAAAAAGAAAAGAAAACATCATTAATGTGGGCCAGCATACTTGTGCACTGAATTATGCAGCTGCTTGCAATACCAGGCATCCCATGTTGGAAAGCTGCATAGAGTCCCAGCCCCTCTGCTTCTGTTCCAGCTATCTGCTAATGTGCATGGGAAGACAGAAAAGATATTCCCAATACTTGGGCCCTTTCCACACACATGGAGATCCAGGTGGAATTCCAGGATCCTAGCTGCTTGCATGACATTTTGAGTGAACCAGCAGATGGAAAATCTCTGTCTCCCTCTTTCTATCACTCTGCCTTTCAAATAAATAAGTACATCTTTTCCAAAAAATCAATGAGTAAAGCACAGGAGAAACCAAGGTGATGTCCACCCTCCTCTCTTCTCCCTCTGCTGCCCTAACCGCCCCTCAGAGAGGGACTGAGCAGTCAGACGTAGCTGGACTGCTGTGCTTTGGCCCGAGGCCACACGCAGTGTGAGGCATGTTGTCCTGATGGAGGGCACACCAAGCTGAGCATCCAGGGTGCTGTTGTGTGCTGAATGGGACTAAGTCGCTCACTTGCAGGTGCTCGGTGACTCTGGATCTGTTATACTTGAAAGGATGTCATGTGCATGTAGAATTAGACCCATTTGTGAAGACTATCAAATGGAGAAATGACCCCTAAAGCAGAACAGAAAGACTGTAGAAAGGAAAAAGATTATAGAAAAGAAAGTTAATCTCTTGGGATAGATTAATAAATTGACATGTGGTGTCTCAGTGGGCTGAGTGCCAAATAGCTGGAGGAATTCAGCTATTCAGACAGGAGGAATTCAGACAGGATGTACCCTCTTCTGAGAACGTCGTAGAGAGGATTAGGTGGTTTGATCTGAAATTTATGACTGTCTGACTCTATGGGGATGCCTCAGGGCAGGTGATGGGAATAAATACAGCTGGAATCTACCGCTAGGACCTTCTCAAAAATGGGCTCCAACATGTTCCGGTTGTTTCTTCTGGGCATATTCATAGTTCTCTTCATTGGTGAGAAAAAGGGATGCAGGGATGGGTGACAAGAGAATGTATGGGGAGGAAGAAAGTGGATTCTACATAAGGCTTTTATGTTTGTGTAAAATTATTGATGGAGAACTTTTCTTCTTCTCTTCACAGGAGACAGAGTCCTGACAAGCAAATGTATGGTGTAGCAGACCTGCAATTCTTAGATAAATAACGCCACAGCGAGAGGGATCATCCCTTAGTTTTTGCACACACTCTCTCTCACTCTCTCCCTCTCTCCCTCTCTCTCTCTCTCTCTCCCCTCTGCCCCTTTCTCTCTTTACTGTTTACAGTCTACTCTCTTCATTGATTACTCCTCTGTCTTGGTTCTATCCCCATACCTGGGTTGGTGTGTCCTTGATTCCTTCTGCGGATGTGTTGGTCATAGTTGTTACCAGTTAAGGGACAATACAACATAAGTTCAGTGGAGTGCCCACTTACTTTTGGCATGTCTGTGCCACCATAGTCTAAGTGTTTTACTCAGGGGGTATGCCTGTAGGGTATGATTACTTTCCTTAGAGCTTTTCTTTACACATTTCCTCTTTATTTAGGGATTCGGTTTTGCAATGAATGTGATCACTTTGATGGAGTCAAATGCCATGGTGGCATGAAAAGTTGCTGGAAATTTAATTTTTCCTCGAATAACAGGAGTTGTGCCACAAGTCACTATTACTATTCTCATCGCCTTTCAGGTAAGCAGGGTTGCAGAGAGACACACATATCATCAGTGGTGCCCATAGTACTGACAATCAAGGTGTAGTGGGAACCTGGGTTTATGGGAGAAGGTTAGGAATTGGGATTCTCCAGACACACTTGGGCAAGGGGGCTACACGGGAGGCAGATGTCTTGCCTGGTTATATCTAGGGTGACATAAATGAGATTTAGACACAGTCTTGAGGTCCATTCTTGTCTATAGAAACCTGAAGAGATTCTGGATAGAAGCCATTCCTAGGAAAATGATGAGATGAGGCAAGGTGGTCACATTTGCTTTTCCTCTCTTTAGGTACATACCTATTTCGTTATACAATACTGAGTTGTGATCCTTGTGAAGAAGGAATGCAACAACTATACCATGACCTCTTGAGAGAAACCCATTGCTGCACTGATAGAGATAAGTGTAATGATGGCAAAAATAATTTAGAGGTTTCAAAACTGGTCAGTGAAAAACTTGATACGTATTAATAGTCATAATTATATAAAAAACAATTATGATTTTTAGCCTGTATCTCCCTGAAGTCATGGATCTTTCTTTCCCCAAAAGCAACATTGTTTTTTCTCAAAGCCTAGACTCTACTTTCTTCTCTACTCCAGTAGTTCTACTTACAGATGCTTTATCTTTCCAGTGTGCATGATCCAATAGAAAAAGGTAAAGTCATAGGTCACCAAATAGCAATTTTTACTCCTGGCTGATTCTCAGTATTTCCTATCTGATGCCTTCTGGCAATCCTTATTTAACATTACTTTCTAATGCTAAACTTGGGCTAAAATCAAAATTCTTTTTTTTTTTTGACAGGCAGAGTTAGACAGTGAGAGAGAGAGACAGAGAGAAAGGTCTTCCTTCCATTGGTTCATCCCCCAAATGGCCGCTACGGCTGGCGCGCTGCACCAATCTGAAGCCAGGAGCCAGGCGCTTCTTCCTGGTCTCCCATGCGGTTGCAGGGCCCAAGCACTTGGGCCATCCTCCACTGCCTTCCCAGGCCACAGCAGAGAACTGGACTGGAAGAGGAGCAACCGGGACAGAATCTGGCACCCCAACTGGGACTAGAACCCAGGGTGCCGGCGCCACAGGCAGAGGATTAGCCAAGTGAGTTGTGGCGCCAGCCTAAAAGCAAAATTCTAACGTCTGCTACAGTGGGAATAAAGTATTTTCCTGGTAGATCTTCTGGGAGAATATGAGAGGAAAGCAGACTGGATAGAAATATAGGGTCAAGAAATCACAGGAAATGTGAGGAGAAATATTTGAGATGACAGTAAAAGAGTTATCTGGCAGGGCTATAAGAGGGGCTTGTATTAAGCAGGAGTTTGGGAAAGTCAATATGAAATTTAAGGCATTCTCTAAGTTAAGTGACAGGAAGAGTCAATGCACTTCACTTGTGAGTGACTGAACTTGTCAGCATTTTTGGGAAACTGTACTGACCACATATTCCTGACTCCACCACTCCAGACCATTGTGTTTCTAATCATCCTTCCTTGCTGTCATGGCAAATGCTTAATATATCAGGAGAGCTCTTGGCACTTGGCTCATCATCAACTCATTACTCTGTGTTTTGATGTGAAAGCTACTTATCCTCAAAAATATTCCACAATTATCTTGCATTCGATGTTCCCATTGATCATAGCTAAGTATTTTTATCTATTGAAAGAGTTTTGTCAACCTGCTTAAGAGATGGGCCAAGGACCTCAATAGACATTTTTCAAAAGAGGAAATCCAAATGGCCAACAGAGACATGAAAAAATGTTCAGGATCACTAGCAATCAGGGAAATGTAAATCTAAGCCACAATGAGGGTTCACATCACCCCGGTTAGAATGGTTTATATACAGAAATCAACTAACAACAGATGCTGGCAAGGATGTGGGGAAAAAGGGACACTAATCCACTGTTGATGAGAAGGCAAACTGGTAAAGCCACTACTTTATCCCCTTTAGTATTTTTTGTTCTACTTAATATCATTGGTTGAACACTTTAATTAACACACAATTATTCTTAGGTGTTTAAATTTAACTGAAAAGTGATCTCTGTTAAATATAAGAGTGAGAATAATAGAGGGAAGAGATGTACAGTTTGGCACATGCTCACTTGGACTTACCCGTAATGGTAGAGTTAGAAACGTGCCAGGGAATTCCAATTCCATCACAACAAGGCAGCATGTAACAATGCCATCTCACTAGTCAACGTGATCATTTTCAGTTAATAATTGATCATAGTTCTCCGGGAGTGAGATCCAAGTGGAAAGAACAGGTCATCAGAGAAGGAGGTACCTTTCTCTGAAGGGAGGAAAGAACTTCCACTTTGACCATGGCCTTGTCTAAATATGATCAGAGTCGGTGAACTTGGCAACTCATGACAAGAGCCTAGGGTGATTACTGATGCCATAAGCAAGAGTGTCAATTTGTTAAGTCAACAACAGGAGTCACTGGCAAGTCAACAACAGGAGTCACTGTGCACTTACTCCTCATGTAGGATTTCTGTCCTTAGTGTGCTGTACATTGAGATTTAATGCTATAACTAGTACTCAAACAGTATTTTTCACTTTATGTTTCTATGTGGGAGCAAACTGTTGAAATCTTTACTTAATGTATGCTAAACTGATCTTCTGTATATAAAGAGAAACGAAAATGAATCTTGATGTGAATGGAAGGGGAGAGGGAGCGGGAATGGGGAGGGTTGTGGGTGGGAGGGAAATTATGGGGGGGAAGCCGTTGTAATCCATAAGCTGTACTTTGGAAATTTATATTCATTAAATAAAAGTTAAAAAAAAGAAATGTAGACTCCCCCCCCCAAAAGATAACTTATTTATAGATGAAGGAAAATAAAAAATAAGAACTGGAAAAAAAAAAACAAAAAAATAATTGATCATAGTGTCAGGTTGAGTGTCAAAGGGATCACATAAATAAGATCAGTGTCTGCAAATAATAATTGATAGAATTAAAAAGGAGAGAATGATCCTACATGGGAAGCAGGATACACAGCAGACTCATAGAGTGGCAGATGCCCTAAATAGCACTCTGACCTCAGAATCAGCCCTTAAGACATTCGGATCTGGCTAAAAAGCCCATTAAAGTATTTCAGGCATGGAAAGCCAAGACACTCTGGCAAAAAAATGACCTAAATGAAAGATCTCTGTGAGTGAGATCCCAGCAGAAAGAACAGGCCATCAAAGAAGGCAGTACCTTTCTCTGAAGGGAGGAGAGAACTTCCACTTTGACTATGGCCTTGTCTAAATAAGATTGGAGTTGGCAAACTCAAGAGGCTTCCATAGCCTTGGCAGCTCATGACAAGAGCTACAGGTGATTACTGACGTCATAAATTAGAGTGTCAATTGTTAAATCAACATCAGGAGTCACTGTGCACTTACTCTTCATGTAGGATCTCTGTCCTTAAGGTGTTGTACTATGTGAATTAACAGTATAACTAGTACTCAAACAGTACTTTATATTTTTTGTTTCTGTGTGGGTGCAAACTGTTGAAATCTTTACTTAGTATATACTAAATTGATTTTCTGCATATAAAGATAATTGAAAAAGAATCTTAATGAAGAATGGGATAGGGGAGGGAGTAGGATATGGGATGGTTGTGGCTGGGAGGGAAGTTAAGGGGGAAAAGCTGCTAAAATCCAAAAGTTGTACTTTGGAAATTTATATTGATTAAATAAAAGTTAAAAAAAAGGGAGAATAGTTGTGAAAAGTAAATCACAAACCCTACTGTAAAAAAAGGAAACACATAACAAAACTGTTGATTTCAATTTTGCAGAAGTCTTGGTTGTCTTACAATATCAGAAACAGGCTCCATAATCCCAGTAGACTTCATCTGGAAACATATTACCTAGGGCTTACCACATTTAATCTTGTTGTCTATGTTCTTGATTCTAAAATCTTGGCTAAAGTTTCCAAAATGTGCCATCAGACTATTATTAAATGCACACTGGATAAATGCCTGGTTGAAGCTGCTGGGGTGCTACCCACTATGACAAGAATAACTTGGAGAACAAAAATTATTTTTATTGCTTTCAACCATGTGGCTTCACATTTAGATGTGGGTTTTTTTTTTTTGACATGCAGAGTGGACAGTGAGAGAGAGAGACAGAGAAAGGTCTTCCTTTGGTGTTGGTTCACCCTCCAATGGCCCCCGTGGCTGGCGCGCTGTGGCCGGCACACCGTGCTGATCGATGGCAGGAGCCAGGTACCTCTCCTGGTCTCCCATGGGGTGCAGGGCCCAAGCACTTGGGCCATCCTCCACTGCACTCCCGAGCAACAGCAGAGAGCTGGCCTGGAAAAGGGGCAACCGGGACAGAATCTGGCGTCCCAACCTGGACTAGAACCCGGTGTGCCGGCGCCGCAAGGCGGAGGATTAGCCTAGTGAGCCGCGGCACCGGCCTAAATGTGTTTTTTTTTTTTTTTTTTGACAGGCAGAGTGGACAGTGAGAGAGAGAGAGACAGGGAGAAAGGTCTTCCTTTGCTGTTGGTTCACCCTCCAATGGCTGCCACGGCCGGCATGCTGCGGCCAGTGCACCGCGCTGATCCAATGGCAGGAGCCAGGTACTTATCCTGGTCTCCCATGGGGTGCAGGGCCCAAGCACTTGGGCCATCCTCCACTGCACTCCCGGGCCACAGCAGAGAGCTGGCCTGGAAGAGGGGCAACCGGGACAGAATCCGGCGCCCCGACCGGGACTAGAACCCGGTGTGCCGGCGCCACTAGGCGGAGGATTGACCTAGTGAGCCGCAGCGCCGGCCTAGATGTGGTTTTAAGGCAAATTTTTGGGGCCAGTGAAAACAGCCCTAGGAGAAACACTGAGTGGAAATTGTGAAGAGGCTTTAGGTAAGAGGCTGCAGGTGCCTTCCTTAGAATTCTTGGGGTGAGGCCTGGGGTTGTGGCAGAGTGGCTAATGCCACTGTCTGTGGCACTGGCAACCTTTAGCATTGGAGTACTAGTTTGAGTTGCAGCTGCTCTGCTTTTGATGCTCTTTTTCGAT